GTGTGGTGGTGAATGGAGTTAAATCCAGTTGGGGGCCGGTCACAAGTGGTGTTCCCTCAGCAAGTTTGCAGATGACACTAAGTTGGGAGGGAGTGTTGATCTGCCTGAGGGTAGGAAGGCTCTTCAGAGGGACCTGGATAGGCTGAATCAATGGGCTGAGGCCAACTGTATGAGCTTCAACAAGGCCAAGTGCCGGGTCCTGCACTTTGGGTGCAATAACCCCGTGCAGCGCTACAGGCTTGGGGACGAGTGGCTGGAAAGCTGCCAGGGAGAAAAGGACCCGGGGGTGTTGGTGGACAGCAGGATGACCATGAGCCAGCAATGTGCCCTTGAGGCCAAGAAGGCCAATGGCATCCTGGTGTGTATCAGAAATAGTGTGGCCAGCAGGAGCAGGGAAGTGATTGTGCTCCTGTACTTGGAACTTAGTGAGGTTGCACCTCAAGTACTGCGTTCAGTTTTGGGCCCCTCCCTACAAGAAGGACATTAAGGCACTGGAGTGTGTCCAGAGAAGGGCAACAAAGCTGGTGAAGAGTCTGCAGAACAAGAATTATGAGAAGCAGCTGAGGGAACTGGGATTGTTTAGTTTGGAGGAGACTGAAGGAAGACCTTAGTATTAGGTATCAGGAAAAATTTCTTCACTGGAAGGGTTATCAGGCATTGGAACAGGCTGTCCAGGGAAGTGGTCAAGTCACCATCTCTGGAGGTATTTAAAAGATGGGTAGATGAGATGCTTAAAGACATGGTTTAGTAGTGGACTCAAAGATCTTAGAAGTCTTTTCCAATCAAATACTTCTATGAATCTAAATGTACAGCACTCAGCACAAGGAGGTTGTGATCCTGACTGGAACTGCAACCTGTAACACAAATAATTTTGATGACTGTTATAGTCAGGTCCCAAATAAATTCACGATCCCATTTACAATGAATGCTCTTGAGAATCCATGTTTAACACACAGTTGAAGTAAAAATCAAAAGTTTGGAAAAAAGAATCCACATTTCAGTACTAAGAGTTTGGGTGAGCAAGAATAATAAAACAATTAGCTGATGTGGCCTTTAAAAGAACTTTCAAGATTGACAGCAGAGAGCATAGCTTTGGACTGCTTCTTTTCTCGGAAGAATTCACACAATTTCTGCAATATAAGTATACTGGTTGCACTAATCCTTGCCGTCTGAAACACTTTGCAGCACTTCATCCACGAATGCATGTGATCTACAGTCCCACTCTTCTGCCTTTAGGCTAGATGCTTTCTCAGTTTAGAACTGTCAAAATGCAGTGAAAGATGAATAGAAAACATAATCAGTGTCAACTAAGTCACAGACAACATGCATGACAGGTTATCTTCACCAGACTGGCTGCAGACTTACACCTTTGAAGTCAATATTTTGGAGGTATGTATCTATCCTAGAGAAATAAACTGCTGATCAGACTGGGAGAGAAAGAGAGAATGAGGCTAAAGCAGAAACGTCCAAATCCCAGCCAAAAAGCTGGATCTGACTCGAGATTTAACTTAAATCTGGTTCCCAAAGACATATTTATGCAGAGAGATTGAAGCTTGCATATAAAAGGAATAATAATTATACAATCCACAGCAACTGCTAAGAGAAATTTTTAAATGTACATTGCTTGAGAGACACTGTTTCCGGCTACCGAAGAGAGGTGTGAATTTCTCCCAAAGCCTAAGGTTCCCACTTCAAAGAAGAGATTTTCAAATAAAATCACATATGTACAGCCCTAATTTGTGCACTCAGTTACAGAATAGTTGGACCATTTACTGTAAGGGCATATGCAAAGAGCTTATCAGAAAAGGGCAGAAGAGTGATAATAAAAAAGGAATCCTACTCTCCTTTTTTCCATCTATAGAGCAAAGGTAATAGTAGCTTTACTACATAAAATATTAAGCTACTGTGTAAGGGTCTGATCTTTTCAGCAACTCTTAAGAGGACAGGAAGAAGAACCTTCATGGAACAAGGACGCTGGGTATTGCAGGTGCTATTTAAAATGTACTGTTGGCCTTTCTACACAGCAAATTGGACCCGGTTAAACTGCAAGACAATCCTGAATCTGAGTTTCTTCCAAGTGTGGTGTCCTAGAAAAAAAGGAATCCGAGCTACTGGTCTCTCTTTGTCACTATTTTTGTTAGGAAGAAAAGTCTTCCTGGGCACAGAAAGAATCACAGACTCTAGGACCTTCTCTCTCTTTATCTGTGTGGCTGTAAATTGGAAGTGGCTGTGCTGGACTGACTTACCAGTTTTATCCTGCAGCAACCTGCAAAAGGAAACTCTTGCCTTTCCTCCATTGATGTGAAAAATTCTTCTATTTGCTAAAAATCCATCCTGGCGCAAGCAGGTTTATAATGGCTACTTTTAGCCAACGACGGGGTGTTTGAATGTTTCTAGAAGGAAAGCCTGTGGTTCTAAAGCTGCCCTCCAACCTAGGGTTGGATATAATTTCAGGTTCCTTTGGAGAGTAGAACTTCCCTTCCTAGGAGTTTTATTTCTCTTATGTTGAAGTAATATATCAACAAACATATTAGTCTGTCCCAAAGAAATCTTCATAAACTTACTTGGGACTTCTGAGGGAGAAACAAAGAGGGGATTAACACATTAATTTAAAACTATATCCTTTAGAGGAATATTTGGAGCTAATGACATAAGACATCCCTTGAATCTTTTGTAATGCTGGCAGGAGAAATAAAAAGACACTGAGGACAAACTGAGAATCACCATATGATTTAAACCAATCTTTTGGTAAAAGACAACACTCTCTCTCCAACTTGCCCTTGCTTTGCAGGATGATCCATGTTCACTGAGTCGTTGCCTAATGGCACTGCATCCTATGACACATGCTGGAGCACAAGCTTGTGCTCAGACTTTCATTTCTTTCCTCCCCAGTGATTTAGGATCACTGTTTTGGTTATACATGCCTTCCAAAGTCATCTCACACCCCGGTCAACTCCTGGGGCTGTAGGATTGTCCCATTAATTCTTTCCTTGAGTATAACCACTGGGGAGATGCGCAGATGTAGACACTGACCAATTTATTGCCAGGATTAAAAAACTGCGGAGAGCAGGTGGTCAGCCAGAATTATAAAGACAGACAGGACAACTTACAAAAATCATACATTTGGGAGTTGTGATATGTATGTTATGAGGGCTGGCAGTAGCACAGGAATTCTGTCTCCATGTGTAAGTTGGAGTTTTTCACAGCTCTGATCAGCTGAATAACCTTGCCTAGTGCCATGGAGACTGACTTACACCCACTTTTTTATTTCTAGTAATTATTCTTCTCTGTGTTTCCATATTTTGTCTGGTTTCTTTTTTCAATCTTAGGCCTGCCTCTGCTCTATATTCCTTTCTTTACAAGCAGTCTTTATGCTTGGTTTCTTTCACCAGTAAAAAGTAAGTAACCTTCATCGAAACTACAGCAGAAAATATAAGCAAAGAGATGATCCCCCTAATTGTTTCAATTCAGATTTTGCTACCTTTAACTATACAATGCTCTATGCCCAAGTTCAGATTATAAACATTTATTTATATGCTACATCATGCTAATACACCATATTCAGTAAAATATTACTATTAATGGGACTGTAGCACACAGTGAGAAGGTACTATAGCATACCATTACTCCCTATGCATACATTTATGTAAATTATGGTTGTCAAGGTACATGTTTATATGAAACTCAAGGTTTGGTGTAGTGAAAGGCTTGGTGAAGAGGTATGAACGAGGTATGAACAATACCTGAAGAGGAGAAAAACCTTTGTATTCTTAATGAAGTAAGTTTGTGAATAGTTCAGTTAAGTAAGAAGGTGATCGCTTCTGGCCTGCTGAAGTAACACTGGTATATTCAGAGAAGGAAAAGGAAACAAAGGCATGGAAAAGCAAGCACTAGCACCCAGTCCTTGACTGTAGAGCTGAAGATGAACTCCTGCCCATTAGCTGGGTATTGGGAATGGCAAAGAGGCCTTGTGGATTTCAAGGGGGGATAAGTACAGTAAATGTGTTCTTTTTTTCTGTCTCCTTTCTAACAGAGTGGTTTATTTTGGCTTTTGTAAATAAACAGTCCCGTTTGTTTAGGCTGACTTTGCTTGAAGTGATTTTAAGAGAGCTGATAATATGCATCAAGTCTACACTTTTATGGGGTTATAAATCTTCAAACAAGGATACTGGAATGCCTCTGCACTTACTAGGACTCCAATACACATTCTGAGGGCAAGAGGAGAATGATAGGGCACATCTCTGACTCTGAAAAGCTGGCAAGACTGGAGTCTGGGAGAATTAAATGGATTTAGCAGTGTGTTAGCTAGGAAAGTGCTCTGGTTTGTGACAGGGTAGTGGGGAACTTTTCTGTGATCATCTCCTTACACAGTTACTCTGAAAGTCTCATTTCTTGGTCAAACTATCAATGAGTTTTTCAAGGAGTTGTGGGAAATGAGTACAGGTAGAGAAAACTACTTTGGGTGGATGTTTCAAATCCAGAACCCTTTATCAACTCATTAACAGGAGCAAGCAGTAATTAATTTCTATTCACATGTATAAATGTGCCCCCTTCATCCTCCTCCCTGGCCCAAGTATGATCCCAACTTCATTCATTTTCAGTGGTAACATCGAAAAGTTATACTGAAAGTAATAATTAGGATTTATTAATAAAAAGTAATATAAAAGAAGTATTGAATACCAACAGGTGCTTGAATGGTAGATCACTACAGCATCCTCAGAATTCTTTATCATCTACTGTATTGTCAAGTTCTCACCTGTCCCAAACAACTAGACCAATAAAACAAACTACATAGATAAGCCGTGTTGTCAATCATTCTCTATGGAACATTGTTGAGGAAGGAGCTCACAAATACAATGATTATAGTCAAACACCAAAGACGGAAAGAGTGAAAACATTTAACAAATCTCAGCTAGCCCTTTTACCCCCATTGTACTTTCTGCTTTACCATTCTCCCTCCCCCACAAATAAAGACAGTAAAACAAAAATCATTAGAATACCTTTGAACTTGTGAAAGACGGCCCATAGCTCAGCAATGTCAGTGGCAAATGTTATGTCTGTGTCGAGGACAATGACTCGCTCAAGATTGGAAGGTAGAGTCTTAGTCAGAACCAACTTCATCAGCCCGTAAATCCCAGAGTAGTGTTTGTTGGGGATCCAAGACACTTCCGACTGAGAGGAAATGGGAAGTGGGAAAGAGGAAGAAAAAATAATCTTCATTAGAGAAAGAAACTCTTCCTGACACTAGTTTCTTGCAATAGTGGACGATCTCCGAGTACCAGCAATACCACACTATAAAATGCCAGTTGGAAACAGTCATCTTAACTCTTGCTTTTAAATTAACTTCAGAAGCTCTGAAATATAGTAAAGTTCCTGAATGCTTGAAAAAAAAGAGTTCCATGAGGCAACTGCTTTACACAATATAATTAAAATCAGTTGAGCCTTTCCAACCTGGTAAAATCCATTCTGAGACATCAATGTATCCTGATAAACTTGAAATATATGTTTAAACCAAAAATTCAGGTACATTGCTTTCATTTTCATATGAAACTTTTGTGTGTGCCACTCCTAGAATTATTTGACTCTGAAGTAGAAGTAACAATCATGTTTTTTCCTTTTTTTTCCCACAGATTTGGAGGTTAGAATTTCAGGAGGCCAGTCATTTGGAACAATGGGCAAGAAAACTGCCCATAAAATGGTTTCTTACAAACTCAAATTTTCCTTAAGCCGTACATCTTTAACTTATAACTAGTGACATCACATTGACATGCTCAAAAGTGGAGAAAGTGGGAGAACATTTTTAGCCACATTTCTTTGTTTGCTATATATTCAAGTAGCAAACCTAAACATTGACATTTCTTCAGTAAGGGCTAAATAAAACATTTCTACAGCTTCTAAAACAAGTTGGGAAATTAAACTTAATATTATATTGTGCTACTGGCACTAGGATGTTACCTGAGCTACATTTGTTTTTCTTTCTGCGAGACTCAAGTTCTCAAATATCAAAAGTCACTGCTGCAAGTGGGATACAGAAGGTTTTGAAAAGTTCCTGAAACTCCTTTTATGTTTCAAAGGGCACTCACTTCAATTCCTAGATCTTAAGTTTCCCCTAATCATGTTCCCATTAACTTTAATTAGTATTTTATCTATAGGAAACCTGAGTGAGACAGACTTCAGGATTTGTCCTGGCATTTTATATTTGGGAGAAAGTAGGCAGAAACTAAGTGCATTCATAAAACTGAGAAGACTTATTCTGTTGTTTAGCTGTCTCATATCTGTTCACCAGCATTCTAAAGTTCATTATGTGAAACAACTTTTGCACAGAAGAGCTAATTTCCTACAAAATCACAGAATCACAGAATGGTTTGGGTTGGCAGGGACCTTAAAGATCATCTCGTCCAACTGCCTGCCATGGGCAGAGACACCTCCCACCAGGCCAGGCTGCTCAAAGCCCTGTCCAACCTGGTCTTTAACACTTCCAGGGAGAGGGCAACTCCTCTGGGCAACCTGTGCCAGTGTCTCACCACTCTCATAGTGAAGAATTTCTTTCTAAAGTCCAATCTAAATCTGCCCTTTTCCAGTTTGAAGCCATTCCCACTCATCCTATCACTTCAGGCCCATGTAAAAAGTCCCTCTCCGGCTTTCCTGTAGGCCCCTTCAGGTACTGGAAGGTCTCCCCAGAGCCTTCTTTTCTCCAGGCTGAACAAACCCAACTCTCTCAGACTGTTTTCATAGGGGAGGTGCTCCAGCCCTCCGATCATCTTTGTGGCCCTCCTCTGGATCCGCTCCAACAGCTCGATGTCCCTCTTATATTGGGGGGCCCAGAACTGGATGCAGTACTCCAGGTGGGGTCTCACGAGAGCAGAGTAGAGGGGCAGAATCACCTCCCTTTATCTGCTGGCCACGCTTCTTTTGATGCAGCCCAGGACACAGCTGGCTTTCTGGACTGCAAGTGCACATTGAGGTTTTCATCAACTGACACCCCCTTCCTCAGTGTGGCTTTCAATCCATTCTCCACCCAGCCTGTATCTGTGTTTGGGATTGCTCTGACTCAGGTGCAGGACCTTGCACTTGGCCTTGCTGAACTTCATGAGGTTGGCATGGATCCATGGGTTTCTAAACTTTATTTGGAAGTTGGAAAAGTTGTTGAAGAAAGGCTAATAATAGCTGCTTAGAGCGCATTTCTTTTTGAATATAAAGTAACAAGGCCTTTGCTGATGTAAGCTGACCTGCTCTTTTCCCTTTAAAATGGCACACGACTTTATTCTGTATTCTCAGGGTTCCTGTACCAGGGCAGAAGTTCATGAAAAAGACTAAGACTACTAGAGCAAATCTTTAAGGCAAAAGGCAAAATTTTAGAGGAAAGACAAGAAAAGCAGGTTATCTTAAAACAATCCCAAAACGGAAAGTGCGAACTCAATTGTGAAGTTTTGTTTGGCTTTTTTGAAAGGCACCTCACTCTGGGAAACCATTTGTGTGTTCCTTTGTCTGTGCATATAATTTATATTTAATCACTTGCATATACAATGTGTCTTGCACTGTCACCTGCACACATCTATATTATTTACTTGTGCTCTCTATAGGATTTGCACTGTAAAATGCCAGAAGTAACACAAACAAAGATTGCTAGGACTCTGGTATAAATCACTATGAAAGAAATTAAAGAGGGAAGTAACACACAGCATGGTTTAATTTATGGGTCTAAAGAGCTATCATTCTTATTTCATTCTTTCCTTCTTGCTCTCTCTGTAATTTGTACAGTGCTTAGAAGAGAAATCTAGTCTCTGTCTCCCAGATACATGCCAATATTAAGTCTCTAGTTATATAAAAATTAACCTCAATGCTTCCCAAAAATGTCTTCTATGTGCATAACAGATAATTTCAAATCCACACTCTCAAAGCTCTAGCTATTTGTGGTCCTAGCTCTCCCCCATGATAGTCCTAGGCATGGACCATCACATCAAGGTGTTGGCAAAGCAGTATTTACCCTGCTTCCCCAAATTGTGTATCATTCTAAATCTGACACTTGATGTCCTTGTGCTAGACCACCCATGGAGATCAACTCTCTAGTCATACTGACATGGTAAAAGAGATAAAGTAATTTTAGAGACTTGATCTTGCTTTTATTATTACCTGTGACTATGTTATTAATTTTGCATGGCATGTCCTTCATTTAATTAGCTCAAATGCAGTAATTCTCCAGAATAACTCCTACTATGCTTATGCAAATAAGCCTAATAAAGCAGGAGTTCAGAGGTCACATGGAGAGCCTGACACAAATATGGAAGGGAAAAGGTGTCTGGAAAAGTAAGAGCCATTATTTCCCTTCCTCTTCGGATTCACAATATTTAACAACCTTCCCATGTCACTGCAGGGAGGAGATCCTTGTCTGGCTGTTCCTTCCGATCAGGTGCACAGAAACCAAAAGTGTGCCATCCTGAAGCTTGATGTCTGAAAGGATTGCTTTTGAAAATGAAAGGAGCAGTCCCTATTCCAAATGGTCCATCACGGCTGGCTAGCACGTGCTTGATGTGAGCATATGTTGAAGACTGAACTGTCAATAGGTTTAATGAACCTGAAGTTTTCTCTCTTTTGATGCAGAGTTGACTAAAACAGAAACAGGGGTCCTGATTAGTCCTCAGCATAATTTCTTTACAGCTTTGTTATTTATGAACAATGTAACCATTCCAAATTCATGCCAAGGAAACTCCCTACAATACACAATAGCACTGTGAAGTCTCACTCTCACTGTGTATTGCATATAGTCTTACTAAAAGAAATACAAGAACACTATGGTTGAATAGGTGCTTAGTAGTTAAGAAGCTCCAGTTTGAGATAACTAAGATGGTCTAGGCACAAACGGCAAAATTCTGCAACCCTCAAGCTGTCCACTTTTATGTAACTGGTAACTTTTATGTAACTGTTAGCATTTAGCCATTTCATTAATTTAAACATTATTTAAATACTTTTTTTCTCTAGCACAGTTAAAGTGGCCCATATATGGAATGTTTATGAATCATTTGCTTTACAAGCTAGATCAGAGTTGCCTTCAGAGAACAAATATTCCTAGAAGATATGGCAGGAACAGAAAAAATAGTTAGTAAAAGAGGAAAGTGAAACAAAATAGTGTGACATGATTTGCCATTTGTATATATCTCAGTTCAGCAGAAATAGCACACCTTGGATCACTAGCTCTCAAGATCTGGATTTCTGTTCATGAAAGGAGAGTAAACAAAGGCATTTAGCTGGTGCTGACAGTGATTCTTTTAAGTAAGCTAAGTGAAATAATATCTTTGCTCTAAAGATCTTTCATCAGAACCATCTTTATTCTTTCCATAATTGAAGACTGAAAATACACTGAATTATCTGAGTGATTCAGTGCTTCTGGCTATGAATATAGAAATTACGTGCCCATGAGTCTGCGTGCTGTACATAGCTGATCACTCTGGTAAATGGCAGAAAAGTGGGAGCAACAGCCTCCATGTCCAGTGATACTTTACCAGCGAGTTGTCTTCCCTAACTATGCTCCGACCACTTTTTCACAGTTGCTACCACTGTATAAAAGTTCATTAGAGTTAGAAAAAGTGCCATTTTTAAGGAGAGAAGTCTAATATAGACATACAGCTTAAAATCAAGCTTCCCTGTTGCTATGATGGAGAGAGGGGAAAACAGCAGCTCCTTCTCTGTGAATGAATTGCACAGTGACAACATTCCCAAGTATTTAGGTATTTTTATTCTTAAAAACACTTGAGTCTGGTAGCCCACATACTGAGATGAAAGATCTCAACTGTTCCACCAATACTATTTTGCTCTACTCACCTTTCTCCTTGCTGCATTACTGAAATTATGGTAAACAGAGCAGTAAGGTGAAGCACAAGAAAAGAGATAATATATCTGCTGTCTTACCTTAGTGCTGGTTTATATTTATGCAGACTGGAGCATAAAAACAGTAGCAAGCACAGAAACAGAGGAAAGCCAAACTAAGAATCTCTAAGACTGCACATGTTTCTCTCATTACTTACTATCTTGCCTTATGCACTGGAGGTCAACAGAAAATCTAACAAGATTACTATGTGCTTCTTGGATTAGGAGAGAGTGTATCAAAGTACCATTAAACAAAGCACTCAAGAGTTTTAGCTGGACAGTCACATAAACATGAGACTGTGTTTCCC